GCTGAACAACAAACACCAAACTATACTAATCCATTTAGCTGCCCTTGATCCATTGCCTCCTATGCCCTGGCAGTTTAAGTGCTCATCCAGATGCTTTTTAAATGTTGCAAGAGTACCTACCTCTACCATCCTCTCAGGCTGCATATTCCATATTTCTATCACCCTCGAGGTGAAAAAATGTTTCCTCAGATGCCCTCTAAACCACTTATTCCTCACCTTAAACTTTTGCCCCCGCTCTTAAACATGTCTGCCATGCGGAGAAGATTTTCATGATCTACCCTTTCTGTGCCTCTCATAATAATTTGTGCCTCTCAGATTTCCCCTCAGCCTCCTCTGCGTAATCGGTAGTTTCCATTTCGGCTAAAGTCCTTATGAATCTCCTCTGCACCCTCGACAATGCAATTAGATCCTTCCAAGTGTGTCGATCAGAACTGCACACAGCATTCCAAGTGTCCTAACCAATGCTTTATAAAGTTGCAACAAGACTTCCCTGTTCTACCCCCCTGGCTAATGAAAATAAGCATTCTGTACGCCCTCTTCAATATCCTATCTACCGTGCTGATACTGAGTTCTGTAGATTTTGCCAAGGTCCCTTTGTTGCTCTGTACTCCCTAGGGACCTACCAATCATTGTGTAAATCCTTTCCTTATTGGACCTCCCAGAATGCATTTCCTCACACTTTTAAATTCCATCTGCCATTGCTCTGCCAATTTACCAGCTGATCAATATAAGACCATCCGCCTCAGTAACAACTCCTCCACAAATTTTCATGGCATCTGCAAATTTACTAATTATGCCTTCTACATTCACATCCAAGTCATTAATGTACATAACAGATAGCAAGGATCCCAGTATTGAACCCTGTGTCACCGCCGGTCACAGGCTTCCAATCACAAAAACTACCATTTGCCATCACCGTTTGCTATTTGCAAGCCAATTTTGGATCCAGTTTGTCAACTTGTCTTGGATACCATAGGCTCCTACCTTTTGGACCAGCTTTTCATGTGGGACCTTGTCAAAGGCCTTACTAAAGTCCATGTAAATCAATTATATTTATCAACATAATTAGTCAACTTTACAAAACACTCAATTAAATTAGTCAAACAGGATCTCCCTTCAACAAATCCATGCTGACTATCCCGAATAAATACCTGACTTTTGATGTGTTGATTAATCCTGTCCCTTAAATTTTTTTCCAATCATTTCCTCACCACTGACGTCAGACTAATTGGTCTGTAATTATCTGGTTGTCTTCTTGAACAAAGGAAGTTTATTAGCTATCCTCCAGTCATCAGTAAATACAGATGAAAAATATTCATTTCAAAACTCACCCAAGACCTCGGTCTCCATGCATAGATTGCCCCTGTGGTCTCTAATCAGCCCCACTTTTTCCCTGGTAATCCACTTACACTTAATATACTTATGGTTTCCTTAATCCTATCTGCCAAAGATGCCTCATGGTTCCTTTGCCCTCCTAATTTATCTTTTAAGCACCAACACCTCCCCGACAACCCCCCCCCCCCCCACCAACACACACACACACACACACAGACACACAGACAGACACACACTCTATCTTCCTGGAGAGCATCCCTTATTTTTAATGCTCTGCACCCAACACATGCTTCCTCCTTTTTCTTTACCAAACTCTCGATATCCCTTGACATCCACGGTTCCTGTACTTGCTGCCGCTGCCCTTGCCCTTCACTCTTTGAGGAACATGCTGCCTGTGAACTCCCATTGTACGACTTTTAAAAGACTCCCACTTTCCGCATAGATTTACCTGCTAACAGCTATTCTCAGTCTATGTTTGCCAGATCCTGTCCAAAAATGTCCACTGAATTTGGCCTTTTCCCCAATTGAGATATTTAAATTCTGCACTTTCCTTATCCCTTTCCATCCGGACTTTGAAACTTACTGAGTTATGATCACTATCCCCAAAGTGTTTGCGCACTGACACTTCAACCACCTGACCAGCTTCATTCCCTAGGGTGAAGTCGAGCACTGCCCCATCTATAGTAGGACTATCTACATACTGGCACAAAAAGTCTCTTCTGGATGCACTGAAAAAATTCCAACCCATCTAATCATTTCACCCTAAGGTGATCACAGTTAACAGTAGCAAAGCTGAAATCCCCTGCTTTCATCCTATTCCTCACATGCCTCGCTGAGATTTGCCAATATATCTGCCCTTCTATCTCACTCTGCCTCTGGGGAGGCTTGCAGTATAATCTCAGCAAAGTGAACATACCTTTTTTTATTTCCAAACTCTATCCAGATGGCCTCATTTTAGGAGTCTTTAAAAACATCCACCCAAATTACTGCAGCGATGGTCTCCTTTGACAATAATGCAATGTCCCACCTCTCTTACAATCCCACTATCGCATCTGAAGACACAAAGGGAACTGAAGGATCAGACACAAGTAAATGGCACAGCTGTTAATGCTGGTTAAGGTGTTCCAAGGGAGTGAGGAGGCTGCATGGAGTGGATGAAGGGTAATGGTGCGGGAAGATGGAGGGAATAAGGGAAGATATTGCATGCAACACAGTGATGTCAGAGCAAAAGCCTCGGTGGAAGGTGATTGCAGTAGCAGAGATAGAGTGAAAGATAGTTGAGTGGATTATGGTACGTATCCTGGCATCGTGGAGATTCCTTCAAATCAAGACACCAATTTTACGTGCAAAATTTTCCAGCAAATCACAAGTAATCTGGGTATAAGATAGCTATTGTCTTCAGCCCACCACTAACAATCACAAGGAGCTTTAGAACAGTTACATCAAGTCCTCAAAGCAATCTTGAGGGGATACTGCCATGACTGTCCCAATAACTAGGATAAATAGCCAAGATTGCTCGACTGCCACTCAGGATTCAATCAAGGAGCTTACTGACTTCAGTTCTTTCGAATTAGTTTACAAACCTAAGGTAATGGGCCCTCAGAAGCTAATCAAAGAAAGATCCTTGGAGAAAAGGTACATAACTTCTAGATTAGATTTGTAAGAGACTTTTTCTTGTTGGATTCTTGACTGAAAATGTGAGAATGGACACTGGCTTAAAAGAAGGTACAAAGAGATATTTGCAGCTTGGACAAACGAGTGAAGCTGACTAATGCGTACGAAACAATGGTACTTTTTGGGGACATAGAGTCCATACAAATTGGCATCATCTGTTATAGACTCAGGAGAGGTCAGCATCACAGTAATGCTGATTGGTCAGGATTCTGATTCACTGAGCTTCAGGAAGGAAAGTGAAACATGGAAGAGGCGACCTCAAGAAGTTGCTGAATCAGTCATTCTCTCCCCACATTCATTGCAACGTTGCTCTGCAATTTTCTGTCAAAACACTAGAAAAAAAAGCTAAATTTAGAAGTGCTGAAATAATTTAGAGATAATTCTAAAACCCAAAGATAACCAGGGACACCCTGGGTCTGACAAAGAAATTAGTGAACTACAGACCGAACATCACTGCATAGCTAACAATCAAAAGGATTAAGAAACCAACCCATCCAGTTTTGGAATTTGGATAAATGATACAGAACTGTGTACTTCTGCCTGTTGCTTTCCCTCCACCCATATTTGTGTTTTGTCTGTTTTCTTACCGTTTTGTGTGCGAATTTTAAAAGGGGAAATACTTAATATGGTTAATTTAGAAATCCTGTTCTTGTTAAAATTGTGTTACAGTAAATGGAGTTATTGTTACTATTAACGAAGAACCCAGTGCAGTTTGCTTTTGTCCTGGGTAGCAGTCAGTCACAGCCAAATTGGACTTTTTGACAGTCCCATTAAATCTTCCCGTTTCATAGAATCCCTACAGTGTGGAAACAGACCCTTCGGCCCAACAAGTCCACACCGAACCTCCAGACCCAAGGCCTACAACCCACCTAATCTACACAACCCTGAACACTATGGGCAATTTAACATGGCCAATCCCCCTACCCTGTACATCTTTGGACTGTGGGAGGAAACCCACGCAGACACAGGGAGAATGTGTAAACTCCACACAGACAGTTGCCCGAGAGTGGAATTGAACCCGGGTTCCTGGTGGCAACTTTGGGAATAGGGTGGGCTTGATTTACAGCTCACTACCCAGTAAGTCACGACAAAACTTGGGATTCGTCTGTGATATTTTGGAACAAGGACAACACAAGATTGGGTGTGGAATTAGTGTAATAAAGGATGAAAGGAGAAACTCCAGGTTTTCATTAAGAAATGAGATGGTACTAGAAGTTGCTAACACCTTCCTGCAGGGGGACGCGATGTTTCTGATTAACTTATAAGGAATCGAAGAAGACAGGTTTATTGAATTGGTAAGTAAATTAGAAGTGAATTGTCTGTCACAACTCATGGGGCAGAGATAATTGAAGTACTGGCACAGCATTTGGGCTTGGTTGAAATACAATAGTGACTGGGTATTCCAAGCAATGAGACACTGATGTCAGTTAATACTAAGTTACAGCTAAGGCAGATCGCAAAGTAGATGAAGGAACCAGAGCTGGAAAGGTAATTGAGGAGTGTTAAGCAGCTTTTGAATCAACAAATGCCCTCTTAATGAACGAGTGCCGGTCTTCTACAAATTTCAACAAGTAGCTACTGCTCCTAGTGATCTGAGAATACATACTGTCCTGTTCCAAGGAGATGGTTCACACCAAGACAGACAGCAGTGGAATGCTTCTCTGAAGTGTTAAATCAGCAACAAAACAGATGCCACTATGGAGAAGGAAATCCTGGGACAATTACTGGCTCTTAAACACTTGGAATTATACGTCTAACACAGCTAAAGGGATGTGCATACTGATCATATACCTCCAAAATTTGTGGAACAATTCAAAATCCAGAATACCAGGTTAAAACAGTCAAGTTTATTATTGCAATCCTTATCAGCCACTGCAGTTGCCCTGTAATAGGATAGCTGATGCTTTGCCCAGAATTTATCTTCAGTCCAAATTACCAGAGTACAAAAATTCTAAACAACATAACTATAATAAACAGAGAGAGAGTCAGTGTGCATGTATTTCTTACTCTTTTTATTGTGTAATTTGCTAACTTGTACCAACACATGCTTTCAAGCCAAGTTTTCATTTCATCCAAGGATTGAGGTTAGGAAAATACATTATAGATATATTGAACATTTTAGCAAATTTTCAAATAAATCCACAGCAAAATCCTTCAAGAGGAAATCAGTGATTAGGCTTATTAACAAATCATTGAAAGTGCGGGTAATTGGTTTGCTACTTCATTCACATGCGCATGCATGTGGAAATTAGGATGGCAGGAGAGAAGATAGTTTACAAATTGCCATTCACACGACATACAACTGCCATGAGGTCAGTGTCTTGAAGTAGTTTCCTTGTTCAGCTGGGCTAGCAGTTTTCCTTCTTGCTGGCAAAGTGTAGGCTTCTTTCCAGCCAGCAACTTGGAGAAAGAGATGGAGGGTCTCAGGTAAGCTGCCAATTCAGCCTCGTATCCTCTTCCTCTGGTACTCAAAAAGTAACTGAAGCCAGAAGTCAAAACTATACGCTCAAGCAATTCAATAAGCAGAAGTTCTACTCTGTATTGAACATAGAAAAGGTTAAATGCAATACCCAGGGTGGACTCTCTGCTCACTGGACACATACCTAGCACAATTATGATTGTGGTTACTGGAGGTTAAATCATTTCAATTGTGGCTCCAGCAATGATTACTGTGGTATTCCAGCCGTGGTATTCCGCTAGTTACAAGCTGAAAACTCCATCTTCTTTAAGTTAACTAAACTTTCATCCATGTTAATATAGTACCCCCAACAACACAGACTCTCTTAAGTAGCCTAACGTATGCAGTATCATCTTAACGCTTTTCAAAATCCAAAGATAATACATCTACTGGCTTTCCTTTTATCTATCCTGCTTGTTCCCTCTTCAAAGAATTCTATTAAATTGGTCAGGCATGATTTTTCCTTCCTGAAGCCACACTCACTCTGCTTGATTATATTATGCCGTGTAGTTCAACGTCAAATTACATTTACTGTACTTGCATGTCAAATTTCTATGATTAGTGCAAAGACACACAGGCCTCACTGAAAACCACCACTTTCCAGTCTTTAACTGTGCAGAAAATACCCGGTTTCTCTTTTTCCTACCAAAGTGGACGATTCCCACTTTATACGCCATTAGTTATGGTCTGGATCATTAAAGTCACTTGTTGACATCACTTTGTAGCCTCATGTCCTCCTCACACCTTATTTTCCCAAATTTCTAAGGTTTCTTGGGATATTGAGGCATTTTATAATGAATAGCTTATCCAAGTTATTGACACTGATTGCAAGCAGAAACCCCAACACTGATCCTCTCAAAACCCTGCTAGTTACAGCTCCTGAACTCAAAAAATACCCATTTATTGTGTTTTCTGTCTCTTAACCAATTCTCAATTCATGTTAACATGCTACCACCAACTTCATGAACTCTAATCTTGTGATGTTATTGTGTGGCACCTTCGAGTGTTTTGAATATCCAGTTACACTACATCAACTGATTTCCCCTCATTGATCCTTCAAATTAAACTTGAAAAAAAAACTTTTAATTGAACTGCCAAGCAGGATTTCTCTTTCATGAATCAATGTGAATTTCAGCCAATAGTATTATGTTTATCTAAGTGCCCTGTTCCTACATTCAGAATACTAGTTTACAGGAATTTTCTAAAAGACATCTGGATGGTAATATGAATAAAAAGAGTTGAGGATGGGGCCAAATGCTGGCAAATGAGTCGAGATTAATTTAGGATATTTAGTCAGCGTAGATGAGTTGGACCGAAGGGTCTTTTTCCATGCTGTACATCTCTATGATTCTACAACTGATTTTGAATGGTCTTTAATTCCCCGTATTCCTGCCTCTCATTTCTTGATTACAAGGTTGAGCTGGCTGCAATATTTCTGAAATTTTCCAATTACTGCTCATGTGAGACAGACGAGAGGTCATAGACAAACTTCAGAGGAAATTCTGCCATCCTCTTCTCGTAGATGAAATCAAACCACTCATTCTGAGCCACAAGAAAGTGATTCTTCCAGTCTCCAACAGTCCCTAGAAAAATCCCAGATTTAAATAGTAAATATAAATTACAATATACATAATCACATCAACTTAAGAATTTACACCAAAAACAACCCCTGAAGGCAGCAGATATCCATTGGGTTTTTTTTTCAGCTCGGTTTGCTCAACACGGTGGCTCAGTGGTTAGCACTGCTGCCTCACAGCGCCAGGGACACAGGTTCAATTCCACCCTGTCTGTGTAGAGTTTGCACATTCTCCCAGTATCTATGTGGGATTCCTCCGGTGCTCCAGTTTCCTCCCACAGTCCAAAGATGTGCAGGCGAGGTTGATTGGCCATGCTAAATTGCCCATAGTGTTCAGGGATGTGTAGATTAGGTGGGTTATGCGGGATGGGTCTGGATGGGATGCTGTGAGGGTTGGTGTGGACTCGTTGGGCTGAAGGGCCCATTTCCACACTCTAGGGATTCTATGATCTCATTAAAGGAATACAACCAACAGTTCTCTCTAATAAGTCCCTGGAACACAGTTTATTTCCTTTCTTTAAATAAATGGTACACAGACCAGAATCTCGTTTAATATTTTGTTTCAAACATTCTAATTTTCATAATCCATAAATATAGACCTTCAAAACATGCCTCCATACTGTGAAGAGGAAATTATATATTCAGATGTGATATTACAATGTCATGTTATGCATACACAACAAAACAAAACAATTACATTCATTCTTGATACAAGAGTCATACATTTTCTTGCCATCTCTTAATCTCCAAACTATTTCAGCATCATTACATTCACGATAGTTCATCAACCACATTACCTTTTCCAACAATATGAACTTTTTTAAAAACATATTCTAACAAAACACTCTGGCATTTTGATTGTTAAATTTGTTTACAATGGCAACAGCATTATGGTCAGTGTCAATTTGTGTTTCTTTGTGGTTGTGATGGACATAAACTTTGAAATGTTTAAGAGCCAGCAATGATCCCAGAGTTTCCATTCCTACTGTACAGCATTTCTTTTGATACTGATCAAAGTACCCCACTGACTTCTATATTCTCAATTCATCATCATGAAAGATGTCCATATGCACTCCAAAGTCACGAGCATCAATTGTCACTTTAACAGTTAGTGAACTCAAGGGAATCCAGCTGGCTTCATTCGTTGGGATTAGCTTCAGCTTCTCAACAGCTGTTTGGCATTCATTTGACAATATTGTCTTGCCTGCTTTGTGATAAATCAATTAGAGATGTAGCTTTTGTGCTGAAGTTTGGCACCAATTTCTGAATAAAAGTCACATCCCCAAGAATCTCATGATCTCCCTACTTAGTTTTAGGAACAGGTAGTTCTATCACAGCCTTTACTTTCGCTGCTTTTGGCAACACTTGATCTTGCTCCACTGTGTTGCCTGGGCAAGTTAATCTTGCTTTCACGAATTCACACTTAGCAAATTTTATTATCAAGTCAGCTAACTGTAACTGAATAAGGTTTCCAATTGTGTTACACGTTCTTTCCAAGTTTAACTGTATGTTAATACAAAGTAAACCACATTATTAGCTACACTGATGACAATTCGGTTCATTAGGTTTTTGAAATGTAGCTCGAGAGCTTTTAAACCCAATCACAATGACTCGACGTTGAACCCTTGATTTAGTGCAACAAAATCATTAACTCTTGACAGTAAATTTTAGGATGCCTTCAATAAGTCAATCTTAGTAACAAATGAGGCACTGCCACGCCAATGATGCAATCTTCTAACTGAGAAATCAGGTACAAATCTGTTTTTGTTACTGCATTTACATTTCTGTAATCTATGCAGAATCTAGTCAAAACTTCATGTTTAGGAACTAACACTCCTGGTGAACTCCAACTGCTATGGTCATGTTCAATTAAGTGATTTTCTAACATGTACTAAATCTCTATTTTCACCCAGGCTTAAACAACAAGGATGTGTTTTACTGGTGCCGATTCCCCCAAATCCACATTAACTTTGGCTAAGGATGAACATCCAGATGTATCCCTACACATTACCGTGAATTCCACAAGTACTTTGACTAGATCTTTGTTTGTCCTTCCTCCGTAATTTAGAATATCAATTCTAATTATCCCAGTATCTTGATCAGATGGAGAAGTGGGCTGAGGATTGGCAAATGCAATTCAATATAGATAAGTGTGAGGTGTTGCACTTTGTAAAGTCAAACCAAGTTAGGACTTATAGAGTAAATGGTAAAGTCTTGAGGAGTGTTGTGGAACAGAGGGACCTACGAGTACGAGTACAAGTACATAGTTCTTTGAAAGCGGCGTCACAGGTAGACAGGGTGGTGAAGAAGTCATTTAGCGTGCTGGCCTTCGTCAGTCAAGGCATTAAGTATAGGAGCTGGGACGTTATGTTACAGTTCTATAAGTCGTTAGTGAGGCCGCACTTGGAATATTGTGTACAGTTTTGGTCACCGTGTTATAGGAAAGACATAGTTAAACTTGAAAGTGTGCAAAGATGATTTACGAGGATGTTGCCAGGACTAATAGGCCTGAGTTATAGGGATAGAATGTAGAAGAATGAAAGATAACCTAACTGACATGCATAAAATCATGAGGGGTTTAGATTGGATGAATGCATGTAGTCTTTTACCCAGGGAAGGGGAATTCAAAACTAGAAGGCATTAGTTTAAGGTGAGAGTGGAAAGATTTACCAAGGACCTGAGGGGCAACTTCTTCACGCAGAAAGTGGTGCGTACATGGAACGGGATGCCAGAGAAAGTGGTTGAGGCAGGTACAACATTTTTTTTTTTAAAAATTGGATAGTTACATGGATGGGAAGGGTTTAGAGGGATATGGTCCAAGTGCAGCCAATTGGACCTAGCAGAGTGGGCACCATAGTCAGCACTGTCCAGTTTGGGCCAAAGGGCCTGTTTCCATGCTGTGTTACTCTCTGACAGTATCTTCGTATTGGCTAATGGGGAATAGGGGCTTCAATATATGAATTTTCTACATCATTTTCCATCTCACTCTGTCTCATTCATCCTCTTCTATTCTCATGGACTGACATCCTTGCTCTTTATTCTCCTCTCTCCGATAATATCATTTTAACAGGAAAGCGACTGGCCCAGATGGAGTCCCCAGCCAAGCACTTTTCATCCTGTGTGGATCAGTTGGCAGTATTCGCTGACATCTTTAGCCTCTCCTTACTACGATCTTAAGTCCCCACCTGCTTCAAGAAGACCACCATAATCCTGGTGCTAAAGGAAAATCATGCAGCATGCCTCAATGGCTACTGCCCAGTCGCTCTGGCATCCTGAAATGATCTCCTCGGGAGCAACTGCACTGCACACATTGCATTATGGAATCATACCCACAGATTACAAATTAAGATCCAACGTACAACTATCCCTGCATCATGAGCATTCCAAAATAACATTATATTGTTTTCCAGTTAATCACCAAAGTTTGAAGCAAAGTGCTTCGCTCTTGTAAATATGCCCATCATTTCAATTTAAATATTTAAACCAAAGAAAGAAATGGACCAGGAACTAATCTTCAGAACAAACTTAAAACTGATTTATACTGCCTTAGTTCATTCCTCTGATCAGTAGCATAACTCACCCTTTCTAAAGTAATGGCCAATGTCATGATTGATATGCTTCAATGCAGCTTGGTAGTTTGTTGCAGGGTTTGTTTTCATATATGCAAAGGTGCAACGATCCACAATTGACTCCAAGGTTTCGCCATCCAGCTTTTTATTAAGAAAAGATGCAACTTTTCCTATCACGCTTCTGATATCCTTTAACAAATAAAAATAATGTTACTCAATTATAAATCTGACATGTAATTTCTTTCAAATGTATTAACAGTAGGAGAATGCCAGTTAGGCAAAGTATAAACAGCACTAATAACAATCAAATTTTCTACTCTATGCCTGACAACTATCAGTCTGAGCTTTTGCAACATAGTTTTAATATTTCAAGTGATTGTTATTAATAGGAAAAGATTAGCAAAGACAAATATGGATCTGCTAGAAGTATAGATAGGAAAATTTATAATTGAAAATAGGGATATCGCAGTGAAGCCAAGTATTTACTTCACTTCTCTCTCCAGAGACGAAGAAAAGAAATCTCCCAGAAATTAAAATAAATTAGTATTAGCAAAAAAGTATTTCTTTAAAGCATTAATGGAACTTTGATGACAAATGCTCAGGTCCTGACAATTTACACTGCAGAGTTTTAGAAGAAATCGGTACACAGAGATAGTGGATGCATTGATGATCACCTTACAGATTCTGTAATGATTCCAGATGCAGGCTTACCACTTCAGAAAGGAGGGAGAAAAAAAAAATGAGAACTACAGTTCCGACAGTCTGACATCATTTGCACGGAAAGTGCTAAGGTCTGTTATAATTTTTTTATTCACTCAAGTTGTAGGTATCATTGGCTGGACCAGCCATTATTACCTGTCCCCAGTTGCCCTTGAAAAAGTGGTGGCAAGCTGCCTTCTTGAATCTCTGCAGTCCATGTGCTATAAGTCGACTAACAATGTTGTTAGAAAGGGATTTTGACCCAATGACACTAAAGGAATAGTGATATTTTCCCAAGTCAGGATGGTGAATGGCTGGGATTGGGAAATGTCAGGGATTGGGAAATGGCAGGTGTTCCCACGTATGTTGCCCTTCTCGCTTGAAATGAATTGCATTAGTTTTACTGTCACATGAACTAATGGCACCATCTTAGGTACAAGGTACGTCGGTACAGATTCTTCAGTAAAAGTGCTTCGGAAAAAAAATAATTAGAAGATATCAAAAGTTCAGCACAATAGTCCTTCTAACCGAGTCCACACTGGCTCCTAGCCTCCAGTCCATGCCAGGCTTCATCCCAAGGCAGGGAGACCGCTCTGGGGTCTTGAGGCCGGACGTCCACGCTGAGGCCACACTGGGCCAAAGGACTGCCACAGGCCACCGAAGGACCACTATGCTGGACGAGGAAACTGCCACACCAGGCTGAGATGATGCCTCACCAGGTCTAAGCTGAGGCCCAGGAGTCTAAGTCCACACTGAGGCCAGGAGTTCAGATTGCCACCAAGGAGAGAGAAAAAAAAAAGGAAAAACACAACAGGAACAGATGGAGCAGACAAGCTCCAGCTTAAGGTTCGTACTCCACTGTCATCTTGGATGAACTGGAAGTGGTCATGGGTTTGGAAGGTGGTGTCCAAGGAGCCTGTTTGAATTTCTGCACTCTCTGTAAATGCTACACACTGCTGCTACTGAGCATCAGTGAAAGGGTGAATGTTTGTGGATGCGTGCCAATCAAGTGGGCTGCTTTGGCCTGAATGGTGTCAAGCTTCTTGGTTGTTGTTGGTCCTAATACTCATTCAGTTAAGTGGCGATATTGGCTCTATACGGCTTAAATTCTGTCATTGGCTCAGTGTAGCTGGCTCACAGAAAAAGACAGGGAGCAGTTTTTTTAAGCGGCTGACAAGTTGAGGACTGGAGCAAAGGCTGCTCAATGCATCTGGTAATTAGGGCTCTGACAGCCCATACTGAGCAGCTGTCAGCTCAGATAAACTGAAGTGTAGTCATCTTCTCAGTAAAACTGGGAGTGGTGTCAAAGACAGGTCATGTGCAGTAGTCATCTACTTGGAACTGCCAGAGAGCATGGTTCATCCCAGTGTATGGATGAAGACATGCAGACTGTTGAATGCAGGAAGATAAAATGTCTGGAGAACAGCTAGAGCAAAGGCAAGCATTTATTGGGTAGCTACTGAAGAAAATCAAAGACTATTTTCTTGAAGAACAAAAACTGAAATCCCTCACATGGAAGACAGTTAAAAGGATTTTGTGATTAACAGCAATCACTGATGTCTATTTGGGTGATGAAGAAATTTATCAGACTGCCTGTTTTTTAATGTGCATTTTGTGGTGTATGAGAATCAATAGGCAAACTAGTCAAATTTAACTCATTTTAATTCTGGATGTTAGAGTCTAAGATAGAGAGTATTGTCTATTAGGTTTTGTTGACTTTTTTATCGTAAGTTATCTTCTGTTTGCTTAAAACCATGGAATCTGTGGTTTTATTCTTAGTGAAAACATGCATTTTAAATTTTGTCTACTTTACGACAAAGGTTAGTGTTCCCTAACCAGTTTGTAACACTAGGCCTATGTGATTCGTATTATCATGAAGATGGATTTGCGAAGCAAAGGATCCTCAATAGTATCTACTCACAGGGTTTTCTTTCACTGGACCAAACAGATGAGACTACAAAAATCAGACAGTGTGAGTTCAACAATACAGGTCTATTGCTCACCACGCAGAATGTGCATGTGAGCGTGCATGTGGATTCAATAGGCCAAGGTCATGAGAATTCAAACAAGGCTGTATGATTTGCCTAGCTTTGGCAAGAGTGGTAATATCTAGGGCATCCTTCACCGTCAAAATAAATTTGGGGATTAAATGTTATGGAGTTGGAAAAGGAAAAAGGCAGCAAGTCACTGGGAGCTAAGAATAGCTTGGATTGGTTTCTGGAAAAGGATTTTAAATCATTTTAACAGTTAAATGGGAAATCTATCTGTAGGTAACAGAATAAGTTGGCTACTGAAATAGTATTTAGCCAATGTTGCTTTTAGTCTATTTGTAACAATAAAAATCTTAAAATTTGAGAAATTTTGTTGTATGATCCTTCCTCTCTCTGGAAATTTAAATATATTTTTCATAGCTATCAATATCCACTGATATACTAAGTATTCAAAAATACAATTAAACATCAGTGCAAATTATACAAATGATAAAAATAAGATTTGACAGCATTTTCCTTTATGTAATAGGATCAGGGCCTTAAAAGTCATGATCTATTGAAGCATCTTTAATTACATAAATCTGAACTTACTTTCTGCATATCCTCATATGTTACAAACAACATGTTGAGTTCATCCTTATGGCTATACCAATCTCTGATGTGGTCAAACCAGGATCCATACATCACTTAAAAGACAAATAAATATGGTGAGTAAATTTACATGCCAGTTATATCTCCCGACTTATTTTCTTCCCTGGACCCTAACTACTGCTGGGAGGCCTGTACACAATTCCCATCAGGTCTTTTATTCTTCGTGGTTCCTCAACTCTACCCACACAGATTCTGCACCTTCCTATTCTATATCACTTCTTCCTGTTGATTTAATTTCATTTCTTACTAACAAGGCAATCCAACCTCTCTGCCCATCTGCTCGATAGGACACCTATCCCTGGATAGTGAGTTCCCAGTCCTAATCCCCTTGCAGCTACATTTACTGCATGCATTTAAGTTCAACACCCTCAGTGCTGCATTGATTGTTCCCTTTCTCAACAGTTGTCACCTTATCTGCTGTGCCTGAAGTCAGATTCCTGACCTTTTCCATACTCTGTCCTGTTACTTGTTCAAGAAACTTTAACCTCTGCTGAGCCCACCCCATTTAACTTTTTCCATAATTTTCCGTGCAACTGAACCCACCGCCACCCACCTCCCAGCCCACTATTTCGTTTCAAGCCCCACACACAGCCCTAACCGTGTTAATCGCCTGAAATCTGGTCGCAGCATGATTCAGATGGCGCCCATCCCACCGGAACAGCTCCCTCCTTCTCCAAGACTGATGCCAATGTCCTACAAATTTGAACTTATTTCTCCCACACCAATCTTTGAGTCACAAATTAACCTCTTTAATCTTCTTGCCTCAGTGCCAATTTGCTTGTGGCTCAGGCAGTAATCTTTTTAGCTCTGCTTTTTAATCTTGCCCCGAGCAGCTCATATTCCTTCAGCAGAACCTCGTTCCACTTTCATTGGTACCTACGTGGGCCACGACAACTGGATCTTTCCCTCCCACTCCAAGTTCCTTTGCACCAAGATTAGATATCCTGGAGGCAGGCCCAACACAGCCTTCGGGACACTCGACCCTAGCCAGAGATCGGTGTCCATTCCCCTAATGATACTACCCCCAATTACAACTACACTTCTCTTTTCTCCCAACTCTTGAATGGCTCCCTGTACCACAGTGCTTTGGTCAGTTTGTTTATCCACCCTACAGTCCACACAGGGAGCGAGAATCTCAAACTTGTTAGACAAACTCAAGGGCTAAGGTTCCTTCAACACTACCTCCTGGACCTGCCTTGCTCATAGTCACACTCTCCTGTCCCTGACCACTGACTGAATTTGAGGCACTTAATCCAAGGGGTGTGAATGCCTCCTAAAACAAACAGTGTCCAGTTAACTCTTTCCCCCTCCCTGATTTGTTGCAGGGTTTGGAGCTCAGACTCCAGTTCATTAACTCTATGAACCACAATGGGGTCCACCAGCTCACATTTTGTGCAGTTACAACACATCACCGCCCAGCATCTCTATTTTAATTACTTAGTCTTAATTTAATTTTTAAAAATTTTGCACTGCTCTTTTCGTTTGTAGCCTGTCAATATTTCCCGATTCACCTTCAATCTGAAAGTAACCTATGATAGACAGTTCAATCAGAAGTTATCACCAACCAACAAACTTACGGTTTACCTGTCATGTTAGTCTTTTGTGCAGGGCCCCCTGATCTTGGGCTCAATTTATCCTGTTTGAAAAAAAGAACCCTCCCAACTATGTGCCAATGAAAAAGCAAGCAAAAATCACGTGTTCCCGTCTGCATCAAATTCCCACGTCGCCTCCAAATTCCTTGAACTACATACTCGCTCCACATGTGCGTTCCTGACCGTGCAAAGCTTGCTGATCCTGGTGATTATGATGGGCCTTGGGCTTCAACTCATAACCAACTCTTCATATCACTTAATTACCCGAGAGACCCAAAATCTCTCTTTCTACATTAAATAAAATTATTGGCGGCACATCCATAATCATCAGGAATGAAGAAATTTCTTGTCTCACTTCTGAATAATCAGCACCTTACCCTGAAACTGTACTTCCTTGTTCTAGATTCTGTAGCCAGAGGAAATATCTCATTATCTATCCCATCAAGTCCCAACAAAATCTTGAATGTTCCATTGAGATTACCTCTCATTCTTCTGACCTCCAGAGAACCCAGATATTCAAGCCCTCTGTTAGGAAAATCCTCATTCTCGGGAGCAATCCAACATATCTCTGCAGTACTGCCTACAATGGATTTTTAAACAAAAGTTCATGCATGGAATGTGTGGGTCACTGATTAGGCCAGTGCTTAATGCCCATTCCCCAAATTGGCTTGGCTTTGAGGTGCACATGCAGACAGCTGTTAGGAAGCGAGTTCCAGAATTTTGACCGAATAATAGTGAAGGAGTGGCAATATAGTTCAAAGTCAGGATGGACTGCAGCTTGGAGGAGACTTTAGAGGGGGCAGTGCTTACAAGCATCTGCTGCTTCTTATAGATCAGAGTTTTGCAACTGTTTCCATTCAGGATTTTGGGGCGGGGGGAGGGGGGGTGGGGCTGCAGGAGGGAGGGCACATTTCAAAATTTTCTTTTATTCAAGAGGAATGGTACAAACATTTCAGACAATTAAACGTTTATCGGAGCAGTAAACACATTAAAAATTCTGAAGCCAGCTTGAAAGTTCCTCATTTATCCCTGCTGTTCACTTCCTGTCCGTTAATCAAGTCCTTATTCGTATCAATAAATCATCCCAATTTCATCAGCCCTGAAGTATTAATCTCTTGTATGGAACATGCCTTTTAGAAATCCACACATTTCATCGAGTGTTTCATAAACACACTAATACATTAGTCAATCATGACTTCCCTGCCTGAAAACCATGTTGACTTGTCCTAATCATGCTATACTTTTCCAAGTGCATTGCTAAGTAACAATTTCTGCAATTTCCTCATGAGTGATGTCTCCTTTATTCATTCACGGGATGAGGGCGTCGCTGGCGACACAGAATTTATTGCCCATTCCTTGTCGCCCAGAGGGCAGTTCAGAGTTAACCACATTGCTGTGGGTCTGGAGTCACGTGTAGGCCAGACCAGGTACAGATGGCAGTTTCCTTCCCGAAAGGATATTAATGAACCAGATGGTTTCTTCCCCTGACAATCAACAATGGTTTCATGGTCATCATTAGATTATTAATTCCAGATATTTATTTAATTCAAATTCCACCTTCTGCCATGGCGGGATTCAAACCCAGGTCCCCAGAACATTATCTGGATCTCTGGATTAACAGTCCAGTGATAATACCACTAGG